TATATTGGGGATTATACAGGATTTTCGTTGCAAACTACCAGGGTAGATTGTCAAAGTTATGGCCCCCTTTGGGGGTCCTAGTGAGAAAGGGGAGACCCCTCTAATCCCCTCTAGTTATAGCAAAAGCAAGAATTATGTATTACAACGCCGACCGCGCATTAGAGCTTTAATTGGGAAGTTGAGGTCCACAACTTGTTGGGGTCTTTCGTTTCCTGGCGCTTCTGCCATTTGTATATTGCTGCCCTGGAGTGTCTGGGTCAGGGGTGATTGCTCGCACGAATAGTCTGGTGAGTCAGCACTGTGAGTTTGCAGGGGTCTGGTTTCAGGCTTGCAAAGGCTCCCGAGCAAACTATTCTGAAGGTATTGATAGCCGCAATGGATAAGTTCCACCAAGAACAGCTGTCTGTGCTCAAGAACCCCGCAAGCCTTGCTGCTACAGTACAACGAACTCAGAACGCAGTAGAGATCCCCATGCGTGCAACATGCTCAAAGTGCGGCAAAGGGGCTACTGCCGTGCTTCTCGACCAGGACATGGTTCATGGCCTTGGATTTCAGGTCACGTTGCAGAGGCCAAAGTGATGCTCCATAGCAGCCATGTTCTGCAATTGTCGATGCTCTCTTTGAGAACCTCCATCGCAAGGATACATAAATTGGACCTGAACCTTGAGCTGCCTGCAATGTGGTGTTTCCACGAATGCCATAATGAGCCAGTCTTGCATCGGACGCCAAATCATGTCATCTCCTCCAGCACTACCGTAGAGAAGCACATCATATCTCATGAGTTTTGGCACGCTGAGGTGATGCAAGATCTTCATCATCAATAGCAGTCAATAGCAGATCAAAGACCGTCAGGCTTGAGTACCAAGCGAAGTCTCCAGACTCAAGCTTCTGACTTCCAGGGGTTTAGGGCGTAGGGTTGGCATTGGCATGGGAAGTTCCTCGGATTGATGCTCTCTGTTCCCCGTGCTGCTATCCCCAGGGTTTGATATCCAAACCACTGCAAACACTTCGCTACCTCCTGATCTCTCTCCGCAGTTGTTGGTTCTGTTCCCACCGGTTTTGTGATGAGGCTCAATGATGTGACACCAAGAGATGCCTGGTTGCAAAGCCGGCCTTCCGTAACCGTACTGCCTCAGTTCCCGTGAGCTCTGCCGGCTGCAGCGCCTAAAACCAAGCACCTGAGGCACACTGTAAGGTTCATGGGGGATGCTATGCGATTCTATAAATCCCACTTGTTCTTTGCATCTGGGCTCTCTACAAATCCCCCAAAATCGTATATGCGGCATCTAGTCATCCAACTTTTAACTCACTCACAGCTACCCATAATAAGCTTCAAGTACCACCCAAACTAAAGCAACCTAAAACCTCAGCTTCCGATTCATGGTCCATTTTCGTTTCCAGTTGTTTTTCCATCCTTGGGCTAAAGGCTAAATCCCTATAGATCCCCTCAGACCCACATCTCGTTCCAGGGCTCCAGGCCACAATCATCTCCCTGGCCCGGCACACCTCCTGTATTGCGGCATGCCACGGCTTTTAGCTGGTTCAGGACTTCCGCCACAGAAGCTAGGCTACGTAGCTGGCCATAATTCCGACTTCATCCAACTTGATTGAGGTCGAGAATCTCTTTGACAGCTTGGTTAAAGGTCCATGTCTTGCACGTGCCTCACAAAAGACTTTCCAGGAATGTGGCCACCAAACTGCTTTAACTTGGGCAGCGCATGTTCAAAGAACAGGCTGCAGCACGCAGCCTCTAGACATGACCTATGTATCACAAGGGGCTTTCTGGGCGGACCCGCTTCCAAGGGCTGCATTCTGGATATCCAAACGCGGCGCTTGCCTCGAAACACTCGCTAGCTCAACATGCAGCACAAGCTACCGTGGCATGACAAGAAGACACGCAAGCTTGTTGCAAGCTGGTGTACACTTACGTTCTGGTTTCTCGGCATGGTTCTAACCGGGCATGGGCGCAGTTTTTTTTGCGAGAACATTGCCATCCATCGGTCCTCGATGTTGTCGTGACCTCTTTGCAACCTGTGTCGGTCAGGCGTGCGGACGGTGACAGGATCAGTTTCGAGGAGACCTGGTGATTTGTGATGACTGGGCTGCTTCTAAAGAAGCTGGATTGACGCAACATAATATGGACATACAGCTTCTAATGTAATACCGTGTTTCCTTACAACGGTAACTTAAGTTTAAGCTCCTTAACCGCAAGCCAGATGATTGCCTAGCCGCCTCCTCACGTAACGTGATAGCGCCTGCTTGGCACTTGACCCATTCAACTGGTTGGCTGATTTGTCTCCATGGCGCATGCAGTGGAGGCATGGAAGAGGGATTTCTCGTGGCTCCGTAGGGACTCCTACAGATCCATGCGCCCGCTCATAGCAGTCAATGCCCATGCCCCAGGCAAGCTTTGACTCTACAACGGCATTGCAGGATGAGACCCGAATCTTGAAGCAACCTACACATCTTTGCACACGCAAACTCTGAAACACACAGTGGAGCCCAGCATGAATGTCTCATGATCCATGCGGAATGTAGATGGAATCCTTCCGTAAGCTTTTTTCAATTGGCTTGTACTGCCTACAAAAAAGTCATGATTATTGAAGAACATCCACACTTGACCCGTATGAACCGCCTAACTATCCACGCGCAATCCGTGAGACAAAGCCAAAAGCAGCCAAGCAGCTCAAACTCCAGATCCTGCAGGCAGCTTTCTGTGAAAGGTAGGAGCTTGGGAAATGGCGATAGGGCACTTTCAAACGCGATGCCCACAAGAATCACATCCAAAAGCCCCACTTCAGTGGTCTTGCTGTCACACAACTCTCAGAGAATGCCTTTGTCCCGCGTAGATTTGTGCAGATCGTCTTTGCGCTATCCGCGCTGCTGAAATCAGTGTTGTTTATCGTACGGGATTTAGCCAAGTACTGCTCGAAATCACAGAACCTATCAGCCAGATACAGCTTCTGCGGGCTACTAGCCGGCCCAAGCGCCATATTTCTAATCCCCTGGCGCGCAGTACTTGCTTGGCCCTGTAAGGGCGGACCTGCGTCCCTGAAACTGACATGGTTCAAATCCGAATTCACTCCGAATTCCAAGCATGGGTGCTGGCTCAAGAAGCTTGCATGCTGGATGCCAACCCTCAAACCGAGCAAATGCATGCGTCTACCCATGCCTTCGAAACGTCTACTTCCTCCACCCTAATCGCATCGGCCTGGAAAGTAATTCGCATACCGCCCGGGGTGCTCCGACCGAGGCGGGCAAAGATGGCCTTCCATGTGTGTTTTTATTTAAGAAGTGTAATGGTAATAAGGTAGCTGGGCTGCAAAGCTTGGAGTGGTCTTGGAAAGTAATTCTGCTTGCGTTTGATCATCTTGAGATGTCCAAGTCTCATGGTCACTGGTTGTAAAGGATTAAAGGATTTGCTGCAGCATTTTTCGACTTCTATCTCGCTTTGGGATGGTTTATGTCTGGCCGGTCGAGCTAGGATGTGCTAAGGTGCGATTTTTCAACACGTGCCGCTCTGAAGTCAAGCACATGACATGCGATTCTGTTGCCAGAGTCTTGACTCGATTTCCCCTGACCGGTTGAGGTACATCTGCCCGTGGGGTCGACCTGACGCACCCTCAACTGTGTACAGTACCTGCCTATTGGTCCTCCTCTCAGTGAGAAATCAAACGATGCCCTCATTACTCCCTGAGTCACTTGGGAACCCGAAGCCGAGAGCCATTCTTAGCCCTCTACAATGTCCATGCCCTACCTTTTCCATCGAACCTATGATGCCCCATGTTTTTGGCACCCCTTGTCTTCCACAACCCCAAGCTTCAGGCCTCAACTACCCCTTTGAGGGGCAGCGCCACCTTTACAACTCAAAAAGCGAGTGCCCAAGAAGCCCTCAAAACGGGCTGGTGCTCCCTGGTCCGTACTAGTTACCCTAAGGGTCCAAGTAGTCAAATAGTAGATAATTTGGTCCCAAATGGCTTCCTATATAGGTACTCTGGGTCCAAATTATATACGATTTAGGTACTTGGACCCCTTAGGGTAAAGTCAAAAGAGCATCGAAGTACATGGTAGTTTCCCAAAATAGGGTGACTCCAACCTAAGCCCAGTATACTCTTACACTTGTTATGGGGACCCCAAGAAGGGAAACCCCCACATCCTCAAAAAAGCTCGGCAGACCTCCGCCTCCGAGCGCGAGATAGGGACGTTGTGATGCAAACACGCCTGGCGCGATTAGAACAGGGTTTATGGTTTAGGGCTTAGGGTGTTTGGGGGGTTCATGAAGCACATGAGGATTATGAGGGGATAATCTTCCTATTCTTATGGCTTCCACATCGCCCCCGTCCATGCTGCTACAAACGCATGAGGCCTATGAAAGGATCATATTTCGGGCTTCAGCTTCCACAGTACCAGATTCTCCAATAGCAAACTGGCAGAAAATCAAAGTGATATACCCCTCCCCCGGATATTAAACTCCCTCACCCCCATGATGTTAAATACTACTAATGGAAAGTAAAAGTCAAACGACTATGCTATAGGGACTATATAGGGGTTATATAGGGGATAATGGAAACAAAATGGAAACTACTACATCATAGTAGGGTATATACTGGCGTTATCAAGGGATAATGGAAAATCACATGGAAATTGCTACATTATAGTAGCATTGACAGTTTCCTGTAGCATTCTGGCACAGTAGTCCCCTCATGAATGCCAAATTGCCTACAAAGCATCTGGTGTCCGGAAGACTTGTCATCCATGCGGCGGAGTAGTGACTATTTGCGGGAAGCTGGGACTTTTGCATCGAACAGACCTAAACGCCAGCTGACAAGACAGAAGTTCTCAGTTTAATTGGCAACGCAGAACGGAACAGTGCTCATGGACAGTTTGCTCTGCCCTTCGTGCCTAGGGATGTCTCTCTGCGGTGCTGCCTTGACTACCTCCTGCATGCACAACTAGAATATTTGCACGCTGCTTTTTCCTGATTCATATAAGCTCGAGTCGACCAAGAGCTGCGCGGCGCTCGCGACCTCTTGTTGTGCACACAGCCGCAAGCAACCTCGGATGGTCACATGGCGAAAGATGCGCATCAGCCCGGAATTTGACACAAACACCAAACTTGAACTGCGCAAGACTTGGATGTGTGCCGTCTTCTGCCCATCCCACACAAGAAGACCCGAGGCACCCCAAAAGCATATGATGCCACTTCAACATTCGGTCAGATTATTTGGATGGTGCTGCATAGTATAGACATCCAAAAGGTCCTCGCAACAAACCTCCTGGATATTGGTGGGACGGATCCATCAAGGTTGTCACTGTAACATGCTCGTGTATCATCCCTATGGTCCAGTCAATCCTGAACCTGACACCGCAGATACATCCCCTAAACCAGAAACCATATTAACTAAACCCTATAACCTATAGTCCCCCGTAAGTAGATAGAAAACAGGGTATATAGGGATTGGGCTTTGGTTTGGGGAATTTCATGCTGGGACTAAACGCTCTAAACCGAGAACTCCGCGCGGGTCCCAAGCCCATCGGGAAACCTTCCTCCCACTCCTCTCTTGTCAGCCGTCCATTGCTCGGCTGAACATCCATGCCACTGAAGAGGGACTTTGCTGGTACCTGGCAGAGATGGTAAGGCTTCAGGAGGCTCAGGGCTTAGTACTTAGGGTTTTTGGCTTGAAGCTTAGGGTTTAGGGGTTTGAGGCAGGTGCTTAAGAGATTCATTGTAGAAGGTCTTCAACCTATGTTGTACTACAACCTGGTAAGGAATATACACGGAAATCCAGTTATTACCCAAGGCTTGGCCTATGTCGACTTTCGGACCTTAAAAGGTTTTATGAGGTCTTTTGGGGGATGTCATGCGACGGGCTCTAAAGTGCGGAATGGGGGCTGAAGAAGGAGGTTGAAGGAAGACAGGTGTTATTATCCGGCATGCCGTATTATCACCGAGGGCTTGAGACTCACGTAGGCATTGAGTCTCCCAGTTACTGAGCGCTGCGAAAAAAGACATGCCATCAGACACATGCTTCCGGCATGTACTTGAACCGGTGTCATTAGAGGAACCCAAAAGTTGGGCCCTAACCTTAGCTTGGATACTGGCCCCGCCCCCGATAAGGAGAACAATCTTGTATCTGCACGAATGTGAATACTTCTAACGACAGAGGTCTTCTGCAAAACGGCCACGGGATGGGAGTGCGGCATCCAGACTATACGTATACACGGGAAACTCAAATCCCACGCCTGTTTAACCCTAAGCCGAATACAACCAAAATTGGATTCAGAGCTCTGAACCCTAAACGGCGAAACCTAAAACCATGAAGCTGCCAAATTTTAGCACCCTAAACCCTAAACCCCNNCCCTACCCCCCCCCCCCGTTTTGGACCGTCTCTGTCCTGGCTGGCCCAGGTGAGAAGAAAAAGACCCACATAGTGGAAGTCCCTTCGCTGGAGATGGGCATCCTCGGTAAACGCTTTAGGTCTAGGATTTACGGAAATGAAAGATATGAAAACCACCGTTTAGTGTTCCTGCTTAAGGGTGTAGGATGCGATGAAGGTCAATGAGGTCTTGTTTGAAATCCAACTTTGACGAACATCTGGGTACCTCTCTGCTTGTCTTTACCTACCGCGTACCGCAGCAATCGTAGGGCGCTAGAGTTCTCTGAAATTGGGAAAGTATTGCTTTCCTGGTGTCCGAAGGATACCTGAAGTTGTCTCAGTTGTCTCAGTTCTTCGGCTTCACCATAGCAAGCCCTTTGGAAACCTTTCGTTCGCTGACATCATTCTGATTCTGGGGGTCTCCAGCGATTGGGCTTTCAGCCTTTCGGGCAACCTTTAAGAATCTGTTGTGCTTCAGGGATGTTGGTCTTGCTACATTGCTCGTCAACGAACCAGCGGAGTATGGCGAACCTTTCGCTCTAAACTCCAATGCCCCAAACCCTACGCAACTGGGAACCCTAGAACCCCAACTCTACACACCTCAGCCTCAGAGCTCAGCTAAGCCCCACTTGACCCTAAGCCCAAGACCCTATAACTATAACTATCAAAGCTAGGAATCTCAAAGCCGCAGACTGCAATCTTCAAGCTGGCTTCGGCCAGATGAGAAGTTTGCGAGACTAAAGTCACAAACTTCGTAACTTAGCATAATGCATAAGTGTGCAGAATCCCTCATCATCTTTTCTGGTTCACATCCAGCAACTGGCAGATGTGTGTTAACCTTAAAGATGCCAAGTTTCCCAACCATGCGGTTCCGCGCAGGCTTGGAACTCTGGAAGGGACAGAGTGTTGTCCTGGCTTGTTGTCATAAAACGTATAGTTTTAACTGACTTGAAAAGCCCTAATTTTCGGCTAAATCGCGCCGAACCGATCCAGCCACCTCAAAACCTCCAGGCGTCTCGCGCGCGTGCAACCTAGGTAGCATCTACATGTAGGCGACTGCCTTAGTGGAGGCAGTACCCAACAAGGCATGCAGGACTTCAAGTTTGAAGCCAAAGGCAGGCTAACATGCAGAGTCCCAGTTTTTCAAGTACACTCCCAGATGCTTGGAGACAGTCTGCTGCCTCTGCTCTTAGGTTGCCCATTGCCAAGATTTGCCAAGAAGGCACACCCTTCTGTTGGATCAGCAGAGAAACCTAACAAGAGCATTGCGTTTCTATCCAGCCGTTCAGCATGCTACACTGCCACTGCTACTAGTAAACAATGCCAAAAGGACCTTGACTTGAGAGTATACGTAGACTGTGTGGCGCGAAGGGATCAAAAACAAGGAGCCCCTAAGCTTCTTGCAGCTCCTGTATGCTCGCTGGCTGACAAGCAAGGCTCCAGACAAAACTCCGCAACATGAACAAGTAACCGCTCCCCCCCCCCCCACAGAAAACATGTCTAACCTGAACCCACGAATGCCGCACAGCTGGATTGTAAATGGCCTGGTCAGTGTCGCAGCTGGTGAAACCATCACCCAACACCTGCGTCACAAAATGAAGTAACAAGAGGGGTAATCATCGGATCTTTGAAAGCCCAACCCCACAAATCAGGACCCTATGGCCGTATAGCTCCCATCTGAATATCATGGGTCCTAACTTTTATGGGTCGGGGGCTGATGAACCTCACCTTAGATGAAACAGAGGTATCTGATAGGCAAAAAAGCAAAAGACGCAGGGGGGGAATAAGAAGATGACGGACTCGCTGAGTAGGATCCTAGGACCCAATCCCAATGTTTCGGGATGTTTGCTCTCATGAGGGCTTCTTTTGGACAATAGCCAGGTAGATACACCCAGTGTTCACGGCCAATCGCGGGCCACTATGCCACACGGTAGCAAAACCATACGCCCCCAGAATCCGTGCGCTGTTGGACTTGTTGAAGCCCAACCTTCCGCACATGTTCCTCTTCCGCAGGTTCGGCCACACCTTCAGCGACATGTCACATTCATGGTTTAGGGTTTGGGTTTAGGAACTTTGGTTTTAGGGTTTGGTGTTCAGTGATTCTATTGCTTCACATGTGCAAACATTTGCCTGCAGCTTTTGAAGCGGATGAGCACAATGCCGGCCCAAGGAGTACACCAAGATGTGAGGCTTGCATGAACTCTTTCAAGATCTGATGGCTACAAACTTCTAAGACAGAAATGTACTCCTGCATACTTTGCTTCGAAAATCAAAGTATCTATACATGAGCTATAGTCTAAACTCCTAGTATCCCCCCTAATATCCCCCATAATAATCCCCTATATAACCCCCCTTTACGGAGTTTAGACTATAGCTCACATAGCATTTAAACATGTCCTGGACTTCCTGAAACGTTGACATTGCTTCAGGTCTCCAGGTTCAAGGCCCATCCGGAAAGCCTCTCCATAACGTAGGTCCCAAAGGGTCCATGTAGGTATATGGGTTGGGTTTAGGGTTTAGGGTTTAGGGTAGGTATATGGTATATACTTAGGGCCCAAAGGGGTTCCCATAGACCTACTTTAAGGCCCAAGTATACCCCATATAGCTACATGGACCCTTTG